ATGTGGAAGACCAAAAATGATGTGCTGCAGACCAATTTCTCAATTTCTCAACTTCATGATGATAGGAGTGAGTGCCATTGGTCTGTAATAGTTGAGGTTATTGATAGGGAACTTCTTTGGCAGTGGAACAATGGTGGAAGCCTTCAAAGAAGATGGAATAGTGGACTGGGATAAATTCCGTCTGAAGATCCTGGTAAAGACTCCAGCCAACTGATCAGCACAGTCTTTAAGCACTCAGCCAGAGATACCATCAGGACCGGCAGACTTTCTAGGGTCCATGGCCTTCAGAATGCTCCTCACCTCCTGTTCCTCCACAATGAGGTGGGGGCTACAATTGGCTGGTAGTTGTATTTTATCTTTCTCTGATGTCTCCACTTCAAAGTGAGCAAAGAAATGATTCAGTTCCTCTGCCAATGAAGCATCCCCCTCAGCAGGGATGACATTGGTCGGTTGATGGTTTGTAATTTGTTGAATCCCTCGCCACACCTGCCTCATGTTATTGCTATAAAAAATATCCTCAATCTTCCTCTTATAATCAGTCTTGGCCTTCCAAATACCTTTCTTCAGATTAGTTCTGGCAACACTGTGTCTTGCCCCATCACTGGACCTAAAGGCCTTGGTCCTGTCATGCAAGAGGCGCTGGACTTCCTTGGTCATCCAGGGTTTCTGATTTAGATAGATCCTAATACGTTTATTCACAGTGATAGCATCTGTGTAGTGTTTGATATAGTACAGAACAGTTGCAGTGTGCACCTCTAGGTCAGGGTGGTAAAAGATGTCTCAATTTGTGTTCTCAAAATAATCCTGAAGTTGTTGGGAAGCATCTTCTGGCCAAGATTTCACTGTCTTTATTATAGGCAGAGCCCGTCTCCTAAGAGAGATGTATGCTTGTGTTTAAAGCAGTGACATATGGTCTGATTGTCCCAAATGTGGTAATTGCATAACCTTATAACCATGTTTGTTGCTGGTATATACTTTGTCCAATATGTTTGCTCCTCTAGTAGCAAACTTAACATGCTGAAAGAATTTAGGGAGCACTGCTTTTAAATCAGTTTGATTAAAGTCCCCCGCTATGATATGCACAGCATCAGGATTCTTATTCTGCTGATTACAAACAGTGTTATACAAGAATCCCAAAGCTATGGTAGAATTGGCATCAGGAGGGACATAGACTGCAGTAATCAAAACCACACTGAATTCCTGCGGAAGATATATGGGTCTACATTTAAGAGTCATATACTCCAGGTCCATGGAGCAGTGGCTGTCTACAGTCTTTGTATTGATACACCAGCTTTTGTTCACATAAAGGGTTAAACCTCCCCCTTTGATCTTGCCAGAATCTCTACTCCTGTCCTACTGGTGAGCTATGAACACTTCCAACTCAACAGCTGCATCTGGAATGAGTAAATGAAGCCAAGTTTCTGTGATTAGCAAAACACAGCAGTTCTTGATGAATTTAGTCTTTGCAATCTGTAGCCTTAATTCATCCATTTTGTTAGTCAGAGATCTATAATGGTTTATTATGTTTATTGAGTCTATTGCTGAACATATGGCCTCAACTAAACAATTGTTTACTTGTATACATTTCTGTGTGTACTTAAAAGAGAATGAAAAAGAAAGAGTCAAGTCATGCTTATGAACCAGTGTTTGGCCATTTTGTACTTTTCAGTTATTTTAATATTTTGTATGACTTTCCCATTACTTTTGAGAAAAACAGCATCAGAAATCATATTATGAGCCATCTTCAGAGTTAAAAGGATAAATCAATTCTTCCATGACTGACTAAGATAACAAATGGATTTGAAAGATAACAGAGCTGACTTGCTGTTGTTTCTGTTACCATAATAACTATATAATTTTAGTGTGTGCTTTATAATAATCATAATCATAATCAATTTCAAAATATTAGTCCTTTGCATTTTAAAAATCCAAATATAAATTCAAGGGGGGCTGATATGTATGGGAATAATTAAAAAGCTAAGAGGTGGAGGAGGAGGAGGAGGAGGAGACCACACAGAATTATTTTGTTCAGTCTTGCATACCTATTGACATAAAGTTAGTTCAAAGGCTGAGAAATAATACATTAAACTATGATTTAGAATTTCATAAATATGTGTCCTTAGAGGAATAAAATAACTCTTTTCACAACTGTCCATCACAATATACCCAAAGGTCTTCAGACATAAAATAAATAAATAATGTAACTTAATTGCAAATCAAAATATTGTATTCCTTCCAAGATCCGGGCTCATCTGATTCACTATAATAAAATGTGTGCTTTGTAAATATTTAGTAATAGTAATGCTGTTTACTTCTGTAAATTTATTAGAGGCTAATAAAATGATTTAGTTGTATGTATTACCAAATAGGTGCACCAAGTCAGTTAGATGACCCTGCCCCCCTCTCATATTTCATCACCATGTTAGTGACCACTTGACAATCTGTGACTAACATGATCTCCAAAGTAATAATCATTGCTATTGTAATTGAGTTGATCCACCTTGCTGTTATCTTCCTCTTTTTCTTTCCACCTTTCCCAGCATTGCAGACTTTCCCTTAGAGCAATATCTTTGCATAATGTTCTATTTGCTTCCTTGGCTGTCTTCCCTAACATTACAGTTCAAAAGTGTCAATACTCTTTCTATCTTGTTTCTCCCAAGTTCAACATTCTTTCCATAAAATGTCATAGGGCGGGAGTGTTAAACGTGCAGCATAATGTTGTCATCATGTGACGTATGGTGATTTTCTCCCCCCTTCACTAAACCAGGGATAGGCATGGCCAGCCCGTGATGCAACCAGCCTGCGGGCCACAAGTTTGATACCTCTGTCATAGGAGATACTATTACCTGCAGTATTCTGATCTTTTTAAGTATAGAAATATCAAAGAATGACATCTGCATTTATTTTCTAAGGCCTTTACTCTATCAAGTGATGTTTCTATTTTGTATTTTTTGACTACGTGCAGTTTTAATGATGGCTGATCCTAAAAGGAAGACTGTTTAATACCTTCACTGTTATTTCTAAGGCAAGTTGTACATGTTGTCATTAATTTATTCTTTATATTCCTTATTCTTTATATTTAATTTCAGTTCATTTTTTCCATGCACCTTGATTTTATTACTAGATAACTTGCTATTACCAGGTATTACTTGCAGATCCTTTGCATTTTTGGCTATCAGAATAGTGTCATCAGCATAACTCAGGTTATTGATGTTTCTTTTACTATTTTAAAACTACACTCATCTTCTTCCAATCCAGTTATCCTTAATATATATCCAGCATGCAAGATAAATAAATAAGGAGAGAGTGTATAGCTTTGTTACCCATCATTTTTGCTTTGTTTGATAAAACTTCATTCCTCCTATCAGCTCAAATATAATAATTTAGTGCTTTAATCTCTAAAAAATAGCATTTGTCTTACATTTGCTATGAACAGAGGAAAGCTTAGTTTTGGTAGGAACACAAACATGACATACAAGTGAAACACAACATTTTCTTATCTGTTCATTTTTATTAATTTTCTTAATTTTCTTAAAGTTAGCCATTTTAAAAAATTGATCTATTTTTAAACCTATTATCTATCACCAGTATTTATATACAACTTTTCCTAGCTCTATAAGTGAATGCTTAATTGGTAAGCATTACTTATAAGAACTATATACTAATTCTTAGTAATGTAGTATACTAGTATATTCTGTTGATAATGGTTAGTACATGTTCAATAACATAGTGTAATAAAAAAATGAAGACCAAGATCTTTGCCCAAAACAGAAGAAAAGAGTCACCCATTATTGGAACATATCAGTATAATGAGATGTAGTGCAGTTGAGTTTATTGACCCAGCTTCTTTGCTATGTTGCTCTACACTTCTAAGTAGTGTTTCACTCTTGAGGCATTTCCATGAAGTCTGTTCCCCAGACAATAGACAAATTTCTCATTTATCTGACACATAAACAGGAACATATGTATAAAGAGTCATAGTATTGTATAGGTTATCTAAAAATTATTGATAGAAGAACATCAGAATTAAACTGAGAAGCAAAGACCAAAAAATAGTAAGTTAATAATAGATATAAATTGTATAAGTGAACATTTTCTTTTCTGTTTTGTTGACTGGATTTATTGTTTATTTTCCATCATGTAGAATCCAAAGTATAATTTTGTCTTTTTAAAATGTAGATTACATTTATTTTAAAGTAAGCATTTTTTTTGCTATTTAGCAACTCTGGGGGCTACCTATTGAGTAGTTAAAAATATTAAATGCAACAATGGTAATAACATTAAAAAATGGTGGTAGATATTTTTCCTGAATTACAGACAAGTAAAGCATGTTAGAACATCCTTGTAGGTTGTATGGGACTTAGAGTATGTAATTATCCTGTTATTATCAGATTGGGAAATGTTCATCTGTATGTTTTTTCACCAATGCACTGCAATCTTAGCAATCTGGATGCTTCCACTTGTTTTGGATACATAAATACACACATAGAGATACAGACACGCAGATTGCCAAAGTTTCAATTAAGAAATAAGCAATCTTAGGGTGTTTGTTAGCTAATATGGGCAGAGGTGAAAGGTTATCCTAAACTAGTAGATGACATCAGAATGAATATCAAGGTGAACAGTTCCATGCTTTTATGTGTCCATAATTACAAAGATCAGAATGGTGCAGACAATGGAATATTTCAATTTTTCTTATTTCAATTCAGTTATTTTATTACTTTTTGATTTTAATTCTAATGAGAGAGTAGTTATAAATGAAACTAAAAATTGAGTGAATTTTTAATTTCAAAGACATATTAGTGCTTTTCATTTATTCAAAGATGAATATACAATGGAAGACAACAGTATACTGAAGCACAAAGGTACAAATTGAGCATTATAATTTGTGATTGGCCAGAGAAATAGTTATTTTTCAAAAAGTGGCTTCAACTGTACTTTTAATTATTTTTTCTTCTTTTTTTTCAGATGGTATATTCATCTTAGTAATGAGGAAGAAACTCTTGGTGGGTAACCAGACATCCATGTCTACATTCTTACTTCTGGAATTCTCAGGCATTCGGGAACTGCAAATTCTACATTGTTTTGTATTTCTAGCCTTCTACTTCACAACTGCAATAGCAAATCTTCTCATAATTTCAGTTGTGACATTTGAGCACCATTTGCACATTCCAATGTACTTTTTTTTGATGAACTTGGCCATTCTGGATCTTGCTTCTGTTTCAGTCATTATGCCTAAATCCATAGCAAATTCTCTCATGAATACCAGATATATTTCTTATTCTGGTTGCATTTCTCAAGCTCTCCTGTTTGTTTCATTTTTGACATCTGATTTCTTTCTTCTCACAGTCATGGCATATGACAGATATGTTGCTATTTGCAACCCCTTGCAGTATGAAATGGTGATGAATAGGAGAACATGTGCTCAGATGATTGCTAGTGTATGGATCAGTGGTTTTTTCTTTGGAATACTGCATGCAATTGGCACATTTACACTTCCTTTTTGCTCTGATGTTGTTGATCAGTTCTTCTGTGAGATCCCACAATTATTAAAGCTCACTTGCTCAGATTTCAATCAAGGTGAAGTTGGAATTCTTGCCTTCAGTATTATTATAGTATTGGGTTTATTTATCTTCATTTTGGTAAGTTACATAAAGATCTTGAGTGCAGTGTTCAGAATACCATCTACACAGGGAAGACAAAAGGCCTTATCCACTTGTCTTCCCCATCTCATTGTTGTCTCTGTGTTAATGTTCACAGGAACACTCACATACATGAAGCTTCCCTCAAATTCCCCATCTGATCTGGATATAATGCTGACCATTATATATTCTCTTGTCCCACCCATTCTAAATCCACTGGTTTACAGCATGAGAAACAAAGACATAAAGGCAGCCCTGTTCAAACTATTAGGTCCCAAAATTACTTTTTTCCATACAATAAGTCTTTTTATTCATTTTAATCTTTAATCTTACAATAGTTCAATTGTAAATGTGAAAACCATTAACAAGTATATCCTGCTATTAATTGTTAACTTGTTCTGATTTTAAATTTCTCTTGATAATGTTGCAATATGTCCTAGTACATCAATTTACCTTTATCTGACATTTTTAAAAAGTAATATACTCCTGAACTACGAACGCTAAGGATTTTTTTTTTTTGACAGAATCTGGGTTGATATTTATTCCATAGTATCAATATATAATAAAATGATTTTTAAAGTCCACATTAATTTTAATTTTATCATAGTGTATTTATCCATGTCGCTCAAGCCTGGTTTCTGGATGTGTAGTTAAATGCTTCTGTGAGAAGTGGACGCCAGTCAGGAGTTGGTTCTGCTGATAGAAAATTTCTTCAGATGAAAGAGAATTTGGGGTTATCTATTTGTGGTCTGGAAGAGCTGCTTCTTGCAAAAATGCCTACAGGAATTTAGTTTCTTATGGTTGATTGTGAGGAGCTTGGAAGTCAAGGATTTAAAAACATGACCTAAATTGCCGTGCAGCTTTTTAAAGACATTGTCTAACAAAAAAAATCATCATGATTCAATTGCTTTATTATTTGAGGGAGATATTTCAAACCACAGCAAAGATTTTAAAAAATCTCAGTGAACATCTGCTTTTGAATTTAAAAAGAGGGGGAAATGTCTTAAAATATTTTGAAGGCAAAAAGGTTGACAAGATTACGATATTGGAAATTTTTTAATAGGGAAAGATAACTGATTTTAAAAAAATGAATTATTTTTCTTTGATGAAAGAAAATAGTAAATTTAATTAGAGTAACAGATCAGACCTCTCTGTGAATGAGAAGATAAAAATAATATGAGCTAGACTGTTTGATTGTGACTTTTAGTGAGACTAAAAGGCTCAAAATAGATAAAAGTAAAGCAGAAAAAAAATGAAGCAAGAAAATAACTGACATACTTTCACTTTTTCATCAGGTAACCACAAGAAAAATTTGGAGAATAAGGATTTAGTACAACAAATTTCTGATAATTGCATTTTTAAAAGATTTATTGAAGAAATTATTTGAAGAATTTGCTTTAAAAATGCCTGCAATAGTTTAAAAAGCAATGGAAGAAGGATTTGCAGGGATTAAAAAAAAATCTATGGAAGAAGTGAAGAAAAATGAATGTTCTATAGGGCAATTGGCTGCAGATTTAAACTAAATTACTGACAAAATGAAAAATTTGGGAAAAAAGTCAGAAATTATAAATAGAGAGATGGAAAAGGGTTAATTTTTTTCCTGACAAACAGCTGGGAGGTGTGATTTTTACTTTCAAACAACAGTGATTTAGGTTGAACTCTGTATAAAAACCAAGTCCAATTCAAGGTGTTGGTTTTCGCCTTTAAAGCTCCCCGTGGATTGGGACTAGGATTAACTGAGGGCCCATAAGGAGCCATCGTCCTAATTATATAAACTCCATACCATTCAGTTAAGCAGAGATAGCATGCTGTGAATGCCATTAGTCAAATAATTTTGACTGGTGGGATCTAGAAGGGCATCCTTTTCTGCTGTTGCCCCCACTTTTGGGAACATTTTGCCCTAGAGGTGAGGCAAAACCCCTCACTCTTCTGATTTTAATATAGAAACTTTAAAAAGTGACAACAGAAAAAGACTCAGTGGTGCATTGAGTCTAACGTTTGAGTTTTCCAGATGAATGTTAAGACCAGGCTCTGTCACTTAGCCTGAAGATTAAGAGTATGATGCAACACTGGGGATGGCTTCAGGGGTCTCCCTCCACATTGTTAACTTTTTAAAAACCTTTTAATTTTTTAATTTTGATTTTTAATTTGTAAATTGTATTATTCTTAATTCTGTTTTTAATGTGCTTCTGGTCATGTATTGATACTAATTTATTATATTGTTTGTAAACCATCCACAATCACTTTGATCCTGGAAGATGGTGATAACTTACTGGTTAAAAATTCAATTCTTCCCAATGGGCTTGACCCCTTCAATCCTGATAGACAACTTCCCCTCTCCCTGGAAACAGGTAATAGAGCATAAGCTGCCATTCCTATGGACTTTCCCCACTGCTTTTTTTTTTTTTTTTTAATATCCCTAGGCTATGATCAAGCCAAGCAAGTGGTTGTCAACAAAATAAGAGATATGGAGTTCCAGCCAGAATTTAATGGGATATTTCTACACAGCAGAAATCAGATTGAATGTGGGAACCAGCAAGTTTTCTTAGAGACCTGACTTTTCCTAAGAGGAGTATAGCATTTTTTCAGAGTCAGATGTAATAACCTACATCAACACTCCTGCAGGGCAGGTATGATCAAACACCAATAGCTGAGCAAATGTGTACATGTGGCAGTGGGGAAATTGAAGATATTTTAATTTTATATGAAAATTGATATCTCCTGGAATTATAACATAGTTGTTTTATTTATTTAAAGTTAAAAGTTCTAAGAAAGATATCAAAATAACATAGATTAAATTATGAGAGGGGGGGGTTAGTAGATAATTTAAAACTTTTATAGCTGATTTTCCTCCACTTATTACCAAGTTTGAACAAAAGTTGAAATATGAATTGGCTGAATCTCATACAATGATATTGAAATAAAAGAATAACAGAATAATAAAGTTGGAAAGTACCTTCAAGGTATTTAATTCAACCCGCTGCTTAAGCAGGGGACCCTATGTCATTTCAGACAAATGGCTGTTCAATCTCTTCTTTAAAACCTCCAATGATGGAGCATCCAAAACTTCAAGAGATTAAGGTAGGATGGAAGTTCCTGGAGATTTGACAAACCAGCCACAAAAGTCTTTGAGATTATTGTTGCAAAATAGGTTAACTCCTTATACTCTAATTAAAAGAACATATACTGGCTTTCATTTCTGGAGAATGCTTGGTGAAGTATTGCACTGACTTACTTTTGAAGTCTTGTTCAACTGAATATCTATTTATTTATTGAAGCACAAATCAAGTTGATGTATAGTACCTCTCTGTTTCTCTGAATTATAAAAGTGAGCACAAAATTAGTTCTCAGATTGAACAAGAATCATTCTTATTAGCTCATTTGTAGAAGAACAGAGGAAAACTTAGATGAATAGCATAGAATGAAAAATTCAAAATTCTCGAGGGTTATAATAATTCTCCACATGCTTCAAGTGTTTATTCAGATACTGAAGTAATTGAATTTAAAGCCACCTGTCAGGATTCCGACCAATGCCCTAATAAAAGCAGGAGCCACAAGAAAAATTTCAAGAAAAAGCCAGCTCTGACCCCACTCAGTTCATTCCTTGTCTCTAGCCCTGTTTCCCAATCCCCACAAGGTGTGTCATCAGTCACATTCCCCAACAAAGCAATTTTGTGGGTAGTAGAAGTCACTCCCTCTTTCTGTTACTGGTTTCTGTGGAGATGGCCTTGACTTTGGCCAACTAGGATGTGTGTTGTTTTGACTGAGGTGCACATTTCTCAATACAGCTGCAAGGCTTGGTTCCCCATCCCCCTGCCCATGGCAATTCAGGAGCAGAATAGGGAAGCTTCATGAGTTGACACCACCATTAGGGAAGCAGTCTATCCAAAATAAGTGAGCAAAGCTCCATAATGTGTTGACACCCTCCTTTCCCCATTCAACATGTCATTTCTAAAAAAAACCAATAGATTAAAATAAAACTGCAATCCTTTTAATTGTCTCCTGGCAAAGCTTTCTGAAAAGTAAGAACTGGATTATCGGGTATAAGGAAAACTATTGTGTCTTCACTACAAATTTACAAGAGTTAAGAGATCGTTTAGCTTGGAATCACTGAAAGAGAGGAAGTGGTGAAAGTCAGACTCTTTCTAAACTTTGTACTGCTTATCTAATTATTCCATAGTAAGTGTGTAGTAGTTAGTTTGGCTATATTAGAATTAGAATTCTTTTATTGGCCAAATGTGATTAGACACACAAGGAATTTGTCTTGGTACAAATGCTCTCTGTATACATAAAAGATACATTCGTCAAGAGTCAAAAATCATAAGGTACTACACTTAATAAAAGTCATAGGGTACAATAAGCAATCAAATCATACTAGGAAACAGTCTGTATAAATCGTAAGGATGCAAGAGACAAAGTTACAGTCATACAGTCACAAGTGTGAGGGGATGCATGATAATGAGTAATGAGAAGATTAATAGTAATAGTAGTGCAGACTTTGTAAATAGTTGGACAGTGTTGAGGGAATTAGCAGAGTGATGATGTTTGGGAAAATACTGTTCTTGTGTCTAGTTGTTCTGGTGTGCAGTGCTCTATAGTGCTGTTTGAGGGTAGGAGTTGAAACAGTTTATGTCTGGGATATGAGAGGTCTGTAAATATTTTCATAGCCCTCTTTTTGACTTGTGCAGTATACAGGTCCTCAATTGAAGACAGGTTGGTAATAATTGCTTTTTCTGCAGTCCTAATTATCCTCTGAAGTCTGTGTCTGTCTTGTTGGTTGCAGAACCAAACCAGACAGTTATAGAGGTGCAGATTACAGACTCAATAATTACTCTGTAGAACTGTATTAATAGCTCCTTGGGCAGTTTGAGCTTTCTGAGTTGGTGCAGAAAGAACATTCTTTGTTGTGCTTTTTTGATGACATTTGTGATGTTAGGTGTCCATTTTAGGTCATATGATATAATAGAACCTGGAGATTTGAAAATCTCTACTGTTGATACTGTGTTGTCTAGTATTGTAAGAGGTGGTAGTATGGGAGGGTTTCTTCTAAAGTCTACCACCGTTTCTACAGTTTTGAGTGTGTTCAGTTCCAGATTGTTCCAGTACCACCACAAGACAAGTTGTACAACCTCCTATCTGTATGTGGATTCGTCGTTGTCTCAAATGAGACCAATCACTGTTGTGTCATCTGCAAACTTCAGTATTTTAGCAGCTAGATCATTTGAGATGCAGTCATTGGTATATAGGGAGAAGAGAAGTGGAGAAAGCACACAGCCTTGTGGGGGTCCTGTGCTAATTGTACAGATATCAGATCAGAGGTGGTATTC